CTCCTCCCAATTCATAAATCAAATGTTATCTCATCAGTCACATGGTCCGAATTTTCCCGCTCTTGCAGAGTATAATTTTGGACATGATTTCTATAACATGAATAGGATACATTTGACAAAGAATTGATTGGAAAAAATATTTCAAGCAACAAGATTCAAACACACACATACTAAACATGAATATGAACCCTTTAGCTATTCAATAGTTATTAAAAATACATACACAATGAGTGATTAGAACATGATAGTCAAATGTGTGGGTTACATGAAATGGAGTTAAGCAATGGACTGATATTCGTTTATAAGTCCTTTTGAGATCATTTTGGTGCATCTACATCTGTAAAAGACAGTTTCTGTGCTATTCTGTGAACTTGAGGATGTGTTCTGAGGAACAAAGGGTTTTGAAGGAATTTCAGTCTGGTCCTTGTCCTCTGGGGTGGGGGAAACCAATCCAAGGAAACTCATGATTTCTATCATGGATTTACATGTGATGGTCATGCTGTGCATCTCTTTGACCATCATCTTGGTTATTTCCCCCGAAATTTGACAATCTCCTTCCTGAATTGGGATTATCAATAAGTGTTCTTTTGTGTTATTGTTGCAAGCTGTTCTATGAAAGAGTTGGCTGGTTAGGCTTGCTTCAGACTGGCTGGCGCTAGGATCTGATTTACGAACACCCTGTTGTCTTGGGCCTCTTTGTGGAATTCGGCTCCTCGTGTTTCAACCATGTCCTTGATCGAATCTTAAATTGTCTGATTCGCTCTGATACCCTACACTGTGCTTCTAAATGTTTCTCTGTGTGCGACTGAATGACTGTCTGACTGTATGTTTCATTTAATGGTTTGAATGCACACATTCCAGCCAATCAGAATCAAGTTTTTAGACAGATCATGGTATAATTGAAAATATCTTGAACCTTGTGAATGTTCAATATATCACCAGCTGTAAAAGCAGCTCAAGTCTTTGAATGACATGTTTCTGATGTTTCCACCACTGCTCCTGTTCACATCCAAACCATAAAGTAACGTAAGAATAATGAACAAACGGATTCATTAATCTTTTTCTCATTTGTTTTTCTTAAAGTGAACACAGGACTTGTCTTTGTCAATCAGATGATGAATTGGAGAGACGCTCAGAGTTACTGCAGACAGAATCACATTGATCTGGTCAGTGTGAGGAACCAGAATGAGAGTCAACAGGTTCAGAAGATAATCAGTGATAATAACTCATCTGGATCAGGGATCTGGATCGGTCTGTTCAGAAACAGAGACTTGTGGCAGTGGTCAGATCAGAGTGACTCCTCATTCAGATACTGGAAAACTGGTGAACCTAATAATTTGGGAGGTGGTGAAAACTGTGCAGTGATAAAACCAAACACTCAGGGACAATGGAATGACATCCTTTGCACCAACCAGTTTCCTTTTGTGTGTCATGAAGGTGAGTAGATCCTCACAAAACACACATCATCCACCCATTACCTCCAGATCTCTTAAAGTTCACACTACATGTCTGACATGACAAATTGATCCACAGTGTTTGTTCTGCATGTTGTTTTTGATCAGTCTCTCTCTAGACTCTGCTTGTGGTTTGTTTGGTTTCCAGATAAACTGATTCTGATCAAGGAGAATCTGACGTGGTCTGAAGCTATGAGATACTGCAGACAGAATCATGTGGATCTGGTCTCGGTTCATTCAGAAGAGATAGATCGTCGTGTGATGAACGTGGTTAAACGGGCGTCTACTGCGGCGGTGTGGTTGGGTTTACACAACTACTGCAGCATGAACATGTGGCTCTGGCTGAGTGGAGAGATCGTGTGCTATCAGAACTGGGCTCCAGGGAACGGGACGACACCGGAAAACTGCAGCCTCGAGAAGAGAAAAGGAGCAGTTCAGTCTGGAGGAGATCAGCGCTGGATCAGCCTTCCTGAATCTCACAAACTCAGCTTCATCTGCAGCAGATATTAAGAGCGAGGAACACGCTAATGTGTTTACTTACATTAACAGTTTTCATAGGCTACTTCATTATTTTTCTGATTCACATTTATGTTTGATTTGTTCTTTAGTAATTTCTGAGTGAATCTATTTATTTATGTTATGAGAAAAAGTTCAATTGATTTACACTTTATATCATCGCCAACATATATATTGTCGTATCGCCATAGCAAGTAGTAATGCTTAAAGTTTAATGAACACAGCCAATAAATATCAACCTGATCTCATGAAAGTGCGTGTAAATAGTACGCCAAATAAAAACGAAAACTCGTGGTATTGATACGCAAAAATTTACTTTGGCATGTATATGCTACGTGATGGGTAGGTTTAGGGTTGTGGGGTAGATGCGTATCATATGCACGCGAAAACTGCGTATTATATGCACGCCAAACACATGCGTATCATATGCACGCGAAAGTCAATTTTTGCGTATCAATACCACAAGTTTTTGTTTTTATTTGGCGTACTATTTATACGCATTTTCATGAGACCGGGCTGA